TGCATTCCCACCAGCCGTGTAAGAGGGTTCCCTTTTCCCCACAGCCTCTCCAGCATTTACTGTGTGAAGCACACAGCCTCTCACAGCGAGCTGCTGGGTTGCTGGATGTGTGGGGGCCTGGGGGTGGATGAGGGGGTGGGCAAGCCTGGTTTGGGGCTGACTCTGCTGGGCTCTGGAATCTGGAAGGCCACATGCAAGCAGGCCTGCTGCCTTCCTGGGTCTGTTTCTGAGCAACGTACCGTGCTCCTTACAGAGGGAGTGCCCCTTGGCTGGCGTTTCCCAAACTACGCACCATAGGCAAGCCCGGCTGTATCTCCAGTCTTAAGGTGGGACAGACACCGCTTTCCGGTTTTGCTTTAGGTGGCACAGAAATCAGCAAGCCCCACTTCCAGCTTCTTCTTTTTTTTTTTTTTTAACAAATTGTTTTCCGGCTTTTGGGTTCACAGGCTAGAAAAAACAATGGCCACCAGGCAGGCCTAGGTAACCAGGTTTTATTTTTGCCTACTGAACACATGCCACACAAAACAGGACAGCATCTGCAGTCCCAATTGCTCTCACTCCCTCAAGCAAAGCACATTTTGTGCCTGAAAAGTGGCAGGAAGTGAGGAACGCCAGCGTGAAAGACGGTGCCTGCCCGGCGAGGACCAAGCTCACACGGACACTCTCACCCTGTCGATGACAGCTCTGTGGAAGCCGGGGCCTGTGGGTGGACCAGGGCTTCTGAATCAGAGCCCCTTGCACTTGGACCACACGCACAGACCTCTCAGCCCTGTTAAAATGCAGCTTCTTATTCGTCAGGTCGGGTGAGAGCTTGAGATGCTCCTTCTAACAAGGTGAGCGCCCAGTTATACGCTTGGAGTAGCAAGAGTGCGCCCTGTTCCGCATCCTAAACGGCCCTGGGGCTCGGCCCTGTCAGCGAAGAACAAAGTCAGGTGAATGTGGGGTCTCATAAACAAAAATACCACTTCTCTTTTATTATTATTACTATTTTTTGAAGTAGAGTCGATTTGCAATGGTGTGTTAGTTTCTGGTGGATAGCACGGGGGTTCAGTTGTGCATATATGTATGCACCGTGCGGTGCACCTTTATCATTATAGGTGATTACAGGATATGGAACATATTTCCTTGTGCTGCACAGCAGAACCTTGTAAAAACATCACTCTTCAGTTAGGTTTTCTGCTATTGCCTGGATGTGGCCGTGGCTTTCGGAGACATCCCTGTAATGCCAGGGGTTCAGTGAAGGACGGGCGAGGACCCCTGTACCTAGACGAGGATCAGCTGCTGGGCAGCTCTCACCAGCTGTGCTCAGGACCAGCACGACCAGAAGTGACCAGGAGTTTCGAGCCTGGCTTCCTGGACTCTGCTGATCCCACCAGCCGCCTGCCCCTCATCTCCTCAAAACCACAAGTGAAACCAAAGACTGGGATCCAGCGTGCCGGTCCTGACCAAGGGCTGGGGTGGCACTCTGAGGACTGGGTCAGCCTTGGAAATTCCTGCAAGGCTGCCGGTCTCCTGGGCGAGTGGAACGGGGTGGAGGTGCCCTGGGGTGCACCCCGGAACGTGCTGGGTTGTGCTGAGGAGTGAGGAGCGGGGAGCAGCTGGATAGATGGCTTTGATGGAGACCCCTCCCCACCGTGAGATGTGCATTTGACGTCTTCACCCTGCACACACGTTTCTATAACTGAAATCAGGATTCACGGCCAACACTTAGCCCTCCTGCATGTGACACACTCTAATTAAAAAACAAACAAACAAGCTAAATTGCTGGTTCTGATCCACTAGATGGATTTCAGGGTCCACTATTAGGTCATGAGCCGGAAATTGACAAATACCCTGAAGGCTTTTTCTCCAATTGACGACATGCGACTCTTTGACCTGTCGTGGAGGAAAGCTCAGGTCTTCTCTAACGTAAGAAAACCTAATTTAGGTTTCTTCAAATTCTACCCTGTAAGCTCCTAGTGAAGGGATTTTGCCCTCTATTTCTTTGGCAAATCTCAGAGCATCTAAGAAAATGGATGAATGAATGAACTAGCATATTGACAGATGCCGAAGTCCTTGCATGTAATATTTCAGGACAAATATATTTTAGAAAGTGTTATTGGTAGGTGTAGTCCCAGGAGATATGAATAACAAAATGTTTTGAAATTAAAATCTATAGCAACAGAGAGGAGAGGGTATAGCTCAGTGGTAGAGTGTGTGCTTACATGCACAAGGTCCTGGGTTCAATCCCCAGTCCCTCCACTAAAAAATACACCGCATTACTCCCCAGCCCCCAAATTTATAGCAATAGAAAAATACGATTGATTTATAAATGACTTTTGAATATATCAATAATAGAGGTAATAATGTTGATATTTACTTAGTCATTATATGCCTGCTGTAGTAAACATTTTAATTCATAAGATTACATAGTCTATTTAGAAACTACACTTAAAAAAAAAAATCAGAACGTGGCTCTAGGGACATGAGGTGCACTGCACTGGGCTGATCTTACTGCTTCTTAGAGCCGGGAACAAGCTTTCAGAGGCTCTCATCTAGAGGTTTTGAAGCTTTAACAGGGGAAGTTTACTGCAGGGGTGCATAGTGTGGGGGGCCATGGGGAGCAGAAAGCTAGGATTGCTGTTCTGGGCTTCTCCATCTCGTGATCCCAGGTGGCTGCCTCCACAGCCCCTCAGTTTTAAGAGGGACTGACCTGGATCCGGTCTGTTGGAAGTGCAAATTCTGGGGAGGGAGGATCCGACTGGTTCACCTGGGGCAGTGTCCACCTCTGTGCAGTCTGCAGACTGTGAGTCTGCAGTCATGAAGTTCAGACATGGTGTTCGGGCCTCAGCTTGTGACCGAGCAGGACCCTGTGGGACCTTCCAGGGTCAGACCCCTCCCTCACAGCCTCTGCTGTAGCCTTCTGTGAAGGGCCCAGATAATAGTATTTCACGTGTGTTTCCTGAGTGTTTCAGATGCTAAAAACCACCACCAAAAGGAAGAAATTAACTATTTGATGATGGAGAGCACGTCGCCCCAGAACTTCTGGTGCCCAGGGGGTGATAGTGTTGACCGCCCTGTTACCTCCACATCAACCAATCAGAGGACTGTGCACGAGCAGATCACGCACCCTGCGACCCTCCTCCCTCACCTGGCCTTAAATATGCTTTGCTGAAAACCCTTCAGGGAGTTCAAGGTTTTCTTGGGCACAAGCCACCCTGTCCTCCTTGGTCGAGCCTGCAATCAACCTTTCTTTGGTCCAAACTCACATTTCAGTTAGTTTGGCCTCACGGTGCAGCGGGCACATGAACTTGCCTTTGGTAACAAGCTCTGGCAGATTGGTGGACTGTCCTGAGAGTCACGGTCTGGGCTGACACCTCAGAAGTGGCTGTGACTCTTTATAATAGCCAAGGCATGGAAGCCATCTAAATTTCCATCGACAGATGACTGGATAAAGAAGGTGTGGTCTATGTATACAATGGAATACTACTCAGCTATGAAAAAGAAGAAAATAATGCCATTTGCAGCAACACAGATGGACACAGAGATGATCATACTAACTGAAGTAAGTCAGATAAAGACAAATATCGTATGGTATCATTTATGTGGAATCTAAAAAAATGACACAAATGAACTTATTTACAAAACTGAAACAGACTCACAGACATAGAAAACAAGCTCGTGGTTACCAGAGGGGAAAGGGGCTGGTGGAGGATGGAGGGATAAATTGGGAGTACAGGATTTGCAGATACAGACTACTCTATATAAAATAGATGAACAAAAAGGTCCTAGTGTATAGGATAGGGAACAATATTCAATACTTTATAATAAGCTGTAATGAGTGGGGGAGGGTATAGCTCAAGCAGTAGAGTGCATGCTTAGCATGCACCAGGATGCACAAAGTCCTGGGTTCAATCCCCAGTACCTCCTCTAAAAATAAATAAACCTAATTACCTCCCTCCCCACCTAAAAATAAATAAATTAAAAAAAAACCTGTAATGAAAAAGAGTATGAAAAAGAATATACATCTGTACACCTGGGTCACTGTGCTGTACACCTGAAACCAACACATAGTGTGAATCAAATACACTTCCAAAAAAGAAAAAGGTGGCTATGACCCTGCAGAGCCTTTGTTCACGTAAGATCTTACCTGAGAGTTAAACATGAAAGGTGGATAAAGGCTGAGTTGTGCTGGTGAAGGAGAAGGGGGCCAAAGTCCCAGCAAACTGGCACCCTCCCCTGCGGCTGAGGAGCATAATTTTGTGAACCGTGGGTCCAGCTCTAGCCCCTGCTTTTACAGAAAAATGAGAGCCAGCAGCTTCGTGTCAGGGCTTGACCCGCCCCGGACTCCTGGGGGATGTTCTTATTGCTCCTGGATCCACCTGCCCCTCATTCCCAGGGAACCAAACACTCAACCGCTGGGAAAGTCCTTTGTTTCTTTACATTTCTCTTTTAGGACAAAACCCCTTTGTAGTTCTAAAGGGAACTGATTTTGATTTGCAGAGGAAAAAACAACAACAAAAACAAAAAACATAACTGAAACGAGTGAAATGCCCGAAGACGCGTGTCCGGGCGGGAAGTTTAGCTGGAGGGGTCTCACCGCACGGTTCCAGCCTCAGCTCTCCTTTGAGCTCAGACAAGGGTCTGATGGTCCAGAAAGCCGTCGTCTGGTCACTGACCACCTCTCAGGCTGGAGCTGTGCTTCGGTGCCTCCCTTGGGGCTGTGACTTTTGTCCCAGCGCCTCCCAGCGATGCCTGTGTGTGTGGGCGGGGGGACTAAATGATGCTCGGCACAGGACCCTGGTGAACTTGGTCGCCTGTCTCTACTGGTGTTATTATGGGTACCCTTGGGGAGCTATCTCCCCCCACCCTTTGCAGGCCGTTCTAGAGTGGTGTTATTACTGGGTACCCTGGGGAGCTATCTCCCCCACCCTTTGCAGGCCGTTCTAGACGAAAGCTGTGTGGCTGAGAGGCGAAGGCCGGCCCTGGCAGCTAGCCGGGTGGCCTCCGCAGAGCCCCCCCGCTCCCCTCTCGGCGGGGTCAGCGCGGGCCGTCCGGAGGCGCCGCGCCGGCTCCCGCAGCCACTGGGTGGCGCTGTTAGGACTGGAGAGAAGAGGCCGCTTCCCCTGAGACCGCTCTCCCTGCTCAGACCCTCTCCAAACTGTCATTTCCACCCACCTCTTCCCAAAGAACAGAACACAATCACTTCCCGGCCCGTCCCCGGCCGCGCGCGGACGCCAGGGGCCCCTCCGAGGTCTTTCCCGCCCGCACGCTCGCATCCTTGCAGCCTGTTTTCGGATCTGTGTCATGCCGGGTGTTTTGGGGGTGGGGGCGGGGCTCGAGGAATCTACAGGAGGAGAAAGGGCCGTGAAAAACTGCTAAGGAGCCGGGGTCGCAAAAGAGAACGCAGAGCTGCCTGCAGTCCCTCGGCCGCGTGGCCCGTGCTCCAGGGGAAAGACGGAACCAGCGCCCCGCGCGGAGCGGCTGCGCGCGGAGGGGTCGCTGCGGTTGGGCCCCGGAGGGAGGCAGGGGTGTGCAGCGCGCAGGAAAGCGGCCCTGCGGCGGGGTCTTGGCATCAGGTTGCAGGGCTTAAAGGCTTTCTGTTCTTGGCTTCCCAGCTGCTGCGGTGTCCAGGTCCCCCGGCACCCGGTCAAGGGTAGGTGGGGGGCTGGTCCTGAACGACCTCGCCTCCACCCCCTGGTGTTGGCCTCTGGTTCCCGGTTCCTGCTGCTACTCCCTCTTCCTGGGAGAGGTGTCAGAGCTGCAGACGAGACCGCGCAGCCATCCCCGCCTTGCACCCCCGCTTAGGTCCCCCGGGGCTGTCCACCGGAAGGAGACCTGGGAAGGAATTTGCTGTGAGAAAAGCGGGAAACACTGCCTCCACTAGTATTCGCGCCGTGTGCTGCCCTCTTGCCAGAGCTGTTTGAAGGCTGTTTCCACGGGCAAGTGCACATGGGACCCGGTTCCCAAACTCTGAGAGGCCAGCGCCCACAGGCTGCGGAGGTGTGCCCGCCACACCCCTCCGGCTGGCCGACCCTGACCTTGAGCGTGGCCCCGGGCCAGCTCGCCCAGCCCGCCCGCAGGTGGACAGTCACGCTCTGCTGACTCAGGCCCCGACGGGGCAGGTGCCTGCCTTCAACCCCATGAGTAATACCCAGCTTTTCATCTTCAAAGGGCCTTCCTGGGATTAACCAATTAGTCACCCCCAGGAAAGCTACGGAGCAGGTTATTACTGGGCCCATTAAGGCCGCGGTGGGGGAGGGAGGTGGTGGAGGCGCGGCCCCAGGCCAGGGAGAGCCCGGGTTTGGGTTCAGGATATCCCAGGACCATGTCCTTCCGCGGTCCAGTGGAGGCTGGAGCTTGTCGGGCAGCAGTGGTGAGACCACTGAGGGGCTTGGAGAGCCTCAGGCCAGTGCAAAGGGCCGCCTTGCTGACCCACAGCTGGGAGACGCAGGCGGTCTGACACAGGCTTACCCACAGCGGCTGCACCATCTGCTCCAAGCAATTCAGAAACTGATACTGGCTTGCCTCCCGTCTCTCTGGCCCCCCTGAGCCATCCCGATATTTGCGAAATGCACCTTGGAACCCTTTCCTTTTCGTGTCTGCAGGCGCATTTCAAATGACTAAAAATGATAACGCACATGCTACAAAGCACCTTGCAAATCAAAAGTGTGACGTGAGGGCTTAGCACAGCCAGGGCCGCGGGTCCCTCCGGGTCACGCTGCCCCCCTGCGCTTGTCCTCCTTTGGGGCACGACGCAGAAGGCTGGAGAGTTTTAGGAGGTAAGTCTGTGTCTTGGTGGCAGAGTGAGGACTGAGCACCTTCTGGAAGCCAGACAGCAGAGCGATCCTTTCAGTCAACCCTGTCTGCAGCTGCTTTTTATAAACTTGGCATAAATATGGGCTTGGGAACGCCAGGGCAGTGTATCTGGAAAATATTTTCTACCATTTGAAAACACACACACACACACACACACACACACACACACACACACACAGGCTTGGAAAGGGAAAAAAAAAAACACCACGCAACAGAAATTGTGCATTGTACAGAGTGACTTCACATGTAGTTTTTTTCCATTACTTCCTCAGTTCATTTTTCTGCTGCCAATTTTAGAAGGCCATAAGTCATAGTTGTTGTTAAACTTTGTCAGTTAAAATGTAACTCTAAGAACAAGTCATATGATACGCTGGAGCCAAATAGCCTCTGGGAGAGCTGGTGGTGGGAGGAAGACCTTGTCAGCCCATCCCCGAGTCTCGGGTCTTCTCAGCAGTGTTAACACATCGTGCCCACGAGGCGGCCCTGGCTCTTGGCTCCTAGTTGTCACGTCCACCCTGGCTCCAAAGGGCCACCTAGGAGAGGAAAGGAGACTTTTCCACATTCACTTTGTGTGACCTGGGAGAGGAGTGTGGTCTCATTAGGGCTGATTCATTATGAGTTCTCCACTTTTCTCTGTCTTAGAAAATGGCTGGATTCACTGTCTCCTAAATGTCAACCCAGCAGAATCAGAAATTAAGAGGCGAAGGGGAGGGATTGGTGGTTTGAGGCTGGGACTGTCCAGTGCGCTCACATCTCCCTGGAGGAGCTGCAGGCCCAGGGGCGCAGACCCAGGCTGGTCTCTGTGCGCACCGAGGTGGGCTGCGCTGGGGTTTGCCTGCTGGGCATCACCGCTGGGCTGGGAGCCTTCGAGGACAGGGCGTGTGTTTCCCTGCAGGGCTGGTGTCCAAGGTAAGGCCAGGGACCCAGTCAGCACTCACAGGTGCCTGTGCAGAAAACCGGGATAACAGACAAGACACCAAACCAGCTGTCACGGAGGCGCGGCGGAGGGGAGGGTCCCCTCCCTCGTGCAGTCACCATCTTCTGCGTGCCCTTCTGTCCTTTTTTCTTCTCTTCAGTCTGACTGTCCCTGAAGCCACCTTGGGGTCTTGGAAGAGAGGGTGGGGGACACGAGGTGGGTGAAGGGGGGGCTTTCTCAGGGGCCACGCCCCTGCACTTGGAGCCTGGTTGTAATCTTGGTGTAAATGGGAACCTGGACCATTGCTCTGAAAGCTAGATCACTGCTTCAATCCCGGAGCCCCTCAGGGACTTTCTGGCGGGACCGATGGGTCTGATTCCATTGTCATGATAAAGCACAGCTCTGCCAGGTCCAGAATGTCCTTCCGCCACCAGGGTGCCAGCACCCATCTGCTGCCCAGAAGCTTGAGAGGAAGGGCAGGTCTGCCCCAGGCCCTCCTGGCCACGGGTCTCAGTGCTGCTGCGGGTGATGCTCTTGCTGCTGGTTTCAAAATGAACCAGCTGGTCACGGGCGCATGCTCAGTGTTGCCATGCGTCTCTCTGGGGCCTTCTTCCCTCCTTTCGGACAGGAGGTTTTTGTTCATTCGTTCGTTCCTTCACTCCTCCACCAAATACGCACGGCAGAGCGCCTGGGCTCACTTCACGGCTCCGTGCCGGCCCCGCGGATCCCCGGCGAGGAGGCCAGCCCCGGGCCTTGTGGAGTTTCCATCCTAGTGGGGCTGATGGACAGATGGACAGGGGCCCCTTCCCCCCACAGTGCCTTTTGCACATGATGCCGACTGCAGCACTGAAGGAGAGGGGACGGGGGCTAGGAGAGCCACTCAGGAAAGAGGGCTTAGTCTTGGGGAGAGGGTGGGGGGCCTCGGATTTGCCACGTAACTTCCAGAGCCTTCCCTGCGGAACGGGCACGGTGCCGCTGCTCCGTGGGTTTGCCCGGAGGGACAGGGAAGATGGCACCTGTGACAGCCCCCCGACGAGTGTTGGCGGCTCCCAGGACTCCTGGGTACCTTTATCTGTCACTAGATCCACTTTCTGCCTTCTCCTTGGGATAAACCAATCGAATCATTCAAACTTGCCTGGACAAATCAGGGAGACGCGTGCCCTAAAGAGCTGGACTTAAAGACTTTGCCGGGGTCCTGCTCTCCCAGGGCCTCCCACGCCGCCTGGTTGCTGAACCCTGTCTCCCAGCGGATGTCCCGTAGAGAGCACGTGAGGGGCCAAGCACGGCTCTGCACGCCGCGTGGGCTTCAGCCCTGAGCCCGCTCAGCCCTCTGGCCACAGCTTTCCAGCGCTCTGACTACAGAGAAATGTTTAAAAGACTCAGGAAATGAACTCACATTTCCCCCTCTTCCCCTCCTTTTCCCATACAGTGCTGCTTTCCTGGAAGAAAGTAAACAAACAAGTGTGACTATTTAAAACAATTATTGGAAAACCGGCTCTGAACACCGTGGCTTTGAACGGCTCTCCTGGGCGGATGTGTCGCTGGGCCCCTGTGGCGCCTCACCCCACGGTGTGTACGTGGGGAGGGGCCGGGGCCAGCCAGAGCCTTGGGCGAGGAGGGTGTGACGGGCCCATGAATGGCCCCCTGAACACACGCGGACGCGGAGGTGAGTGCACACGTGTGTGAGGCCTGCGTCCGGCTGAAACGAGACAGCGCAGTGATCTGACCGCCTCCAAAGTGTAGAAAGCTTCTGCTGGCCGTGGGGGTGACTATTTTGGGTTTCTAGGTGTTGGAGGCGTTGTTACTAATAACATCATGGGCTGTATGTGGATTGAAGATGAAGCTTTTTCATTTCAGCCATCTGGTCGGAATGCTGTTCCTTTGACGGTGTATAAACCTTTACTGGGTTTCAGCTGGAACGCTGCCTCCCAGTGTAGGTGACAGCAGATACTGAATGGCCCTGTCTTTGCAGGGAGAGGACCTTCCTCTCCAGCGCCGGCTCTGTCCGGGAGGGAGAAGGCCTTCCAGCAGCTCTGGTGCCAGCTTGCAGGGATGTGGGGCCAGCAGAGCCCCTCGAGGTGTTCACCGGTGTGGCTGGCCCGGCTCAGGTTTTCCACTGACAGCCACACGTTACAGACACCCTTGGGAGACGTTCCACTGCTTTCATAACGCCGAAGGGTTTTTTTTCTGACTCATCTTCAGAAGATCCCCCCCACCGCCGCCCCAATCCCCCATCGTTTGAAAATAAATATAATTAGTAACAGGCAGACATACTGTATATAGCCAGCCCTTCCTATCCGGGAGAGTTATAATTAAACATACATGCTGTCTGTTGTTCACTGTCTGCTAAATGCCTCGCCTCCTGCTTTAGGGAAGCGGCAGCCCCCAGGTGGCTGACATGGGGAGAGAGCCCTGGTGGGGCTGAGTCCAGCATCCAGGCGGAAGCCAAGGCTGGACTGGACTGCTGGCTTGCAGGCAGATGTGCCCGCTGCCCCTTGCACTGCCATCACCACGGCCTTTCTCCAGCATCTACCTCAGGCTGCTTGGGGAAATGCCTAGTCAGGGCTAGGGGCAGAGTGATGGTTGCCAAGGACGGTTGTCATGGTGACAGGTGGCCGTGGCTGCTGCTGCCGCTGCCGGTGAGGGGCAGCTGAGTGGCTGCAGGTTGAGATTTGCCCCCCCTCTCCCAGGCCAAGGGCCAAGGCAGCATCCTTTTGTTCCCTGCAAGGTTGGCATGGAGGCCACCGCCCCACCCCACATGAGCTCAGGGAGGTTATCCCCAGGTAACCCCCAGCTCTCCTTCCTGAGAAAAGGGCAGCCTGGGTGCTCGGTCGCCCTTGTCTAGGCCCACGAAGAGCTCATATTCTGCTGAAATCAGTGGATCAGGCGGTCCCAGGAATGCACACACACCTCGTGAGCGTATTCTGGGACTACAGCACGGCCAGCAGGCTTGGTGACACCAGCCCGCCTCCCAGCCCTCGGGCGGGTGACCGGATGACGGCTTGGCACGGCCCTCCCTGGCCTGGATCGAATACAGCAGGCGTCATCTGAGCCACAGGCACCTTTACCCAAGTTGCTCAAAGTGTTTTCCAAGCAAACAGTTGTTTCATAACAGCCGTGAGAAGTAGGTGGAGTGACAAAGCATTCTTTGTCCCCGTCTTATAGATGGGGAAATTGCAAAGCCTTCCTGGCCAGGTGGGGAGGCCAAGGAAGGGAGAAGGGTGCTCTCCCGCCTGGGGCTCTGGGGCGTGGGGGCCTGGGATCTTTCCACTGGGATCTCTGCCTGGCTCTTGGGCCAGAGCCGCTGAACTCAGCCTATCACCCTGTCCTGGGGGCAGAGAGGTGGCCCCTCAGAGAAGAAGGCCAGGGTTGGATGAAGCTCAGGGCTTCACCCGCAGAACTGACAGGCCTCAGCAGCCACACCAGGAACTCAGCCACAGCCCTGTGGTCTGGGGTGTTGCCACTGGCCACTGGGGCCCTTGGAACGTGTCAGGGTGCTGTACCAGACACAGCCCCTGGCCTTACTGAGCTCGCTGGAGACAGATCATCAACCCATCAAATGAAGAGTAAAATTAAAAAGTGCATCATGTAACAGAGATTGGCAGGAGGGGAGGGTGGGAGAGGAGGACCGACTTTAGATAGGGGAGCAGAGAGGTGTCTATGTCAGCTAATCGCAAATGATGGGGAGGAAGCTGTGGGAATGAGGGTGGCCTGTTCAAAGGTTAGGGGGAGGGACCCTGCAAGAGCTGATGTCTGGGGTGAGCAGGGGCTGCGTCGTTGGCCGCAGGGCCAGGCAAGGCGGGGCAGGACTGATCCAGGGTTTCTTGGCGAGGTAGCCCGGACACATTTCTCCAGTGGACTGGATGTAGGGCTTAAAGGAGGAAGGAATTCAGGATGACTTCTGAGCATTTGCTTGACTGGAGGCTGTGGGGGGAGCACGTGGAGAGGGAAATGAAGATGGTCGTGGACTCGGGGAATTTGAGATGCCTTCTTCCAGGGCTGCACGTGGGCTCGGACATCAGTGTTTCTTAAACTCCCCCTGAGACCCTGGAGAAGAAGGGTGGGGGGGTCCTACTGCTGCTGGTTTTGAATTCACCAGAGCCTCCCAGGGCTCGTACCCCATATTTTTCAAAGAGGATCAGACTCCCGTTTTCTGAGCTGGGGCAGGTCTGAGACCAGCCAAGACTGGTGCAGATGACGTGATGAGCTTCTGCCGACCCCACCTGCTAGTCCTTTCCTGTCCAGCCCACCTCCATTCACAGCCACATCCTTGGTCATTTGTCCTTGGGCATCATAAGTAAGTTGATCTTATTACCTGTAGGGGAAGACGGACCCACATCTTGCCTCTCTCGGTTGATAAAATGGAATGCTCAAGGATTCGCAGTTTCTTCTCAGAAGAGGCATTTGAAGAGCATGGGTGTCAGTGAGCAGCAAGAGTCATTGACCAGGGAGGGGTACCCAGGCTGGAGGGCTGGGGTCCCTTGTACCACTGACTTGGCACATAGCTTTGAAGAACTTGTCCCTTCATCTTCTGTCGTGTAAACTGGAAGCTACAAAAAGACTTGCTTCAGAGAAAACTGCCCCAGCCCATCTTGGGCCCACCTACTGTACCTCATTGCTGGGTCAACTCATAGCCAGGAGTGCAATGAAAGTTCCAGTTCTTGTTTTCCAACAAATTATTTCAGAGCAAAGGATGTATCATAATATTTACATCTATGGGAATTTCCTAACATCTCATCATAAAGTTTTACAACGTGGCATGGGGTTTGTAAGTTGGATCTTACCCAGGAAGTGTGCTTGCTGATATACTAAAAACACGGAGGTGGATTCAGGGGTATCGGTTCTCATGCCTCAAGAACACCACAGGGAGAAAACTCAGAAGTCTTGAGTTTCGAGCCTATTAGGATCCATTCTTCAACCGGACAGAATTCCTATCACACATGCGCTGCTGTAGAGCCCCCAGTGTGCTTTCCTGCCTATTTTCGCATTTGAGTCTCCCCCCAGCGCACATGCTGCTGCTGATGCAGCAGCTCAGAGAGGTTGAGTCATTTGTCTAAAGTAACACAGCAAAGGGAGAGCTGGGAGTTAGAACCTCTCCGAGGCCCTGCTGTTGCTGCACCTTCGGTGGCAGCAGGCCAAGATGGTTCTGTCCTTTGTGGGACTGTGGGACTGTGAGCTGGGTGAGCCCAGCCTGAGAGGCGTTTGAAATTCCCTGAGCCAGCTCCTGGGAACCAGCTCTTCTCTCCAGACGGCTGTGTTGCAATGTGGCCGACGGACGAGGAGGTTGAGATCGAAAGCCATGACTTCACCAGAGTGAACCAAGGTCACTCGTCACCCCAGGAAGCATGCAGAGCTGCGACCTTCAGAAGGGAGGTGTGCTGCTCCCCAGGGGAGCTGCGGAGCGGCTCCTTTCCCGTGCGGCGGGGAGAAGGGGAGCTTCTGGAAAGGAGGACGCACAAGGCAGCCAGGCCCAGGAGCCCGGAGCCCTGGTGACCCTGGCCATACCTGAATTGGCCCCTCTTCCAGAAAGGGACCAAATACGACGTGGGGCATCTTTTGGATCCTGTGACCCTCCACTGTCACCTGGGGAGATCAGGTCAACTGTGGGCTGTCAGTGTCCTCCCAGAGATGACCGCTCTTCCTAGTTTAGCAGGCCTTGCTCTCTCGCTTTTTGTGAGGGAGGGAGTCCAGAGTGTCCCACCTCCACTGCCGTCCAGTCCATGAACATGCTGTGCCTCGGAGATGGGGGCTGGGGGGCTGTGTCTGGGGCCCAGACCTGGGATGGAGGCCTGGACACTGCCCATGTTCTGGGCCTGTGCTTGATGAGCCAGGAGAGTGCCTGGGCCTTGTGGCCCACACTGGTGACATAGCTTCCTTTGGGGCTCTCCTGCTCAGGGACCAGGGCCGAAACGTCCTTGCAGGTCATGACTCAGCCTTCGGCTCCGTTGCCATTCTTCAGAGAGGCCTCCCTCATCTATAATCCTCACCACCCCCACACCCCGTCTTGGTGGTCTCCCGGCACTTGTCACTACCCCAAACATGCGCCTTCATTTGTTTGCTTGCTTCTGACGTCTCACCGAAAAGGGCAGCTCCCTCGGGGCTAGGACTGTGGTTGTCCTCCTGTTACAGCCTCAGCACCTGGGAGAGAGCCAGACCACCTACTGCCTGACTGACTGACTGACTGAATGAATACAAGCAAGTGGCCGACCCGGAGGTGGGCGGGCTCACATGAGCAGGTGCCCAGCCAGTGCCCCCAGGAGGCTCGTAGGTGCCCTCCCGAGCCCGCATGGGCAGCCTGTGTGCTCCCGCAAGTCTCCCCCTGGGGCTGAGCTGGGAACCCGTGCCGAGGGCTAGGTGGCTATCTGATGGGTGAGTAGGTTGTGTGCACGTGTGAACAGGGACCGTCTGGGAGGTCAGGGGTAATTCAGCCTCAGAAACTACACGTGTTAATAGAATCCAGGAGCCCAGGAATGTGTTTTTCATTAACGTCAACCTGCTGCAATAGGTGGCCACACCTGCGTCTTGGCCCAGGGACGTGGGAAAGAGAAAGGCACGGCTTGTTTTGGTGGTGGAGGAGGAGCTGCTCATAGTACTGTAATGCCCTTCCTCTGACTCAGAGCCGGGCGCTCTGTGCCTAGGGACTGCGGGTCGCGTGTTCCCGGGATGGAACCGTCTCTTGTGCGTCCAAACCCTTCCTTTGAATTCAAGATGTACCGAAAAACCTTTGGGAGGGGAAGACTGTGTCTCTTTTGGACACTCAAGTCCTCAGCTCTGCCCGGACGGTGCCTGTCCCCCGCTCCCCGGGTGCCCACGCCACACTGCGCCCTTGGGCTCCCCGCCTGCTGCGGCATCCGTGGCCTCCTTCCCCCGAATCTTTTTCCTTTCCTCTCCCCACCCCCCGTTATCCTGCCAAGAGGATGCGGCAATTAAACAGTGAGATCCTGGAGCCCAAGTCAAAGCCTGCCTGGAGACCCTGATTTGATCCCCAAAACTCTTCGGGCACAGAAAGCAGGACTCCTGCGTGACTCGCTGAAGGGCTGGGTTTCCCTCCGGGGGGTTCGCTTGGTGCTCCGCCCCCTCCCCTGGAGCCCTCTCTCCTGCCCAAGCGATGCGCGCTGGGAGGTGCGACCTCTTCTCGGGCAGCGGGAGGGGCTGCCTTGCTCCGCCCTGGACCACGTCCTTTACCTCTCACAGCGCCCCGTGTGGTGGATGCGGTAACTCCCTCGTAATTTGTCGGGTGTGAAGCCAGGGTGGTGGGGCCCACGTCTGTATATAGCGCCTGCATCATTGACGGATGTGGCCCCGACAGCCACTCACACACCTCACCCCTTCTG